AGAGGTGTGGCTTGAATATTTCTAATGTGAGTTGCCTAAGGCTGAATGGAATTTTGCCCTGAATTTGTGCATGATGCATCAAATAAGCACAGGGCCTGAAACAAGGAATTCTGAATTAATTTGTCCTTTTTGGAGAAAAGACAGAGTTAGATGCCTCTTTAAAAAGTCAGTCAGGGGCCTCCCTGGTGGCGCAAGTGTTAAGATGCAACCTATGAAGCCATCCGCAGTCACTGCAGCACAAGTTCGATTCCCGGCCAGCCAGGGAGCAACCCACATGGCACAGCAGACCTCTCCTGACTCACCCCACTGCTCCCCTCAGCAGTGTACTTCAGTCAATCTGCCTGTTCTGTTCCCCACTCTGTCTCTGGTGAATCCTCTCACCGTCCCCCCCACCCCCACACACATACCTCTGGCCTGTATCCCAGCTCTTGTATGCATAAATAAATAAATCTTAAAAAAAAAAAAAAAGCCTTCTTCTTAAAAAAAATTTAAAAAGTTAAAAAAATGAAAAGGCAATCAGCACTTATTTTTTTGTTCATTCACAGAGAGAGGATATAAAGGAAATATCTAATGTAGCAGGCATTAATGAGGATAGTCTTTTGGGGCTGGATTTGGTTCAGGATAATAAACTCTGACAGCAAATATCTGAATTATGTTTTGGAATAAACAAAGCAATTTTATAGATAGTGATCTCAGATCATCATCTGTGATCTTAGTATCATTCTTCTGGTTATAAATGAAGAACCCAAGACTCAAAAAATTAGGTAACTTGTCTATGTTTACTCTGTATTGACATATAGAGCCAGACTTGAACTCAAGTCCCTAAGCTCTGGGTCTGTACAGTTGCCACTGAAATGTGAGGCCTCTGTAGTGACATTCAATGTGGCTTCATGGGTTAAGGTGTTTCAATGCACTGCTAGAGCTGCAAAATTATACAGAATTCAGGAATTATTTGAGTTTTACTTGTGCTTATTGGGATGGAGCTTGGTGATGTGTTTGAATAGACTATCCTCAGATGTGTTAAAGTAAGCGCAGTGCTGACTTAGCACAATTTCTCTAATTGTTTTTCTCCTTGACTCAAGTGTATTCATTAACATGCATCAGCAGGTATGGGACTTTCCCCCCAAGAAGCCTCTGGTGATAGTTATTTACATGTTCTGCAGTGGCCTAAAAGTCATGTAAATCCCCCAGTGCTGTTCTAGCCAACATGGTCAAGACTTCTTGGAGCTATACGGTTGCTTTTCCCCCATCTTCTCACTGATGCCTCCTTCATATCATTTGGGTCCACAGAATGGCCTGGCAAGAACCCTTACTAAAAGGACACATCCTATTCCAGACACTACTCGTACTGTCACCGTTTTATCTTTTCTTTAGAGTCCTTATCTTTAACCTAAATATTTATTCCAAGTTTGTATTCTCTCTCTCCACTAGAATATAATATCTTTGATAACAGGCCCCTTGTTTACATTATTCACTGTCATATGCCCGGGAATCAAATTGTGGCTGGTACGAGAATAGCTTCTCAATAAATATTTGTTAAGGGAATACATGAGGCAACATTTACATAAATGCCTCCAATTTTAATGCTCAGATCCCCTCCATTGAAAGTCAGCCTGTTTTTTTCTCATAGTGACTTCCTAAATATATTTGGAAGTTCTTTGCTAAATATTTTATATCTATGTGCCTGCAAATCCATTGTCATATTTGCTGCCTGCCAGGGTTCTAAAACCCAGATGTTTACCTCAAAACTGGACTCTATACTTAATGATTGCCTTTGCTGTTTTTAATTGGGAGATTCACTACTTCTGGCACCATCTTGATTTTCTTGACTTGTGCCTATTCAGTTGCTTCTTTTATGTGAGAGAGTGGGCACATCTTTCTGTGTATGATCAGCAAGGAAATCTCATAGCAAAGTTGCCAGACCTCCAAAGTATTACTAACCTTCCATCTCATATAAAAACTGTCATAATGACTGGGTTGATGAGTTCCAATATCTCAAATCCTCCATGTTACATGATCCATGGGTTTTGCTGCTTAAGGTCATCATACTGATATCCTATTTGAATACATTGGGCAATAATAATTGGTCCCCATACCTATGTAAAAACTTACATTTAGTGTCATCAGTGGCCTAAATATACAACATAAACAGGTATGCAGTTTTAGCAGTGTTGTCAAGAAAATTCTTCCATGTGTTTTCTAGTGCTGCACCCCATGGTCCCTTCACTTAGCTGAAATGTTTAACCCCAAGAATCCTTGGTGTTATCCCTTCAGACAAGGTAGACACTGGAACATGATTCTTATACCCTCTCAGGGATTTTATATGTGGAAGCCTCATAGCTGTGTATATTGTTAGCTCTTTTGAATCCTAACATCTTTTATATTCTATTTTCTGTCTGAGTATATAGGAGTTGATCATTAAATACTGGATAGTATTTGAGGATTCATGCATTTTTGTATTATGGTCAGGAAGCTCTAGCAAATAAATCTACAGTTGTGTAACCTGCTTTTGCTACACTCACACCCATCATTTAAGAACATTACATACATGAAATGTTTACCTATATTAAGCTAATCAATTTAATCATGGATCAGATTAGAAGAGACAAGAATGCAGCTGAAAATGTATTGTTCATCTACCCTTGGAAAGACTAGAACCATGACTGAACACATTGACTCTCCTTTGCCTTCTTCTCAATGCAGGACCAAGTCTTTTCTCGTTTTTGTTGAAATTTAATTATTCTTCTGACTATTTCAAACCTCTGCCCACCACACATCCATCCCCATCATCTCTGACCAAAGTCTTCCTGGATTTGAGGAGTGGCTCATTATTCTAAAAAGCTTGTTCAGCTTACTTTTCTCTCACACACCCAACTTCTGTTCTACACACAAGCCAGACTGACTCATTTACAGTAAGCCTCATGGGCACTGAGCTGACATCAAAGTGTCGTGTCATATGCTTTTGTTTTTCTGCTATCAACCTATGTCCTTTTCCATTCTAAAATAAAGTTTATTTTTAAGTGTGACTACTTGAACAGATCTAAGTGTAAAGTTTGATGAATTTTCATAAAGTGAGTACATCCTTGGAATCTGTACATGGATTAAGAAAGATTATTACCAGCACATATGAATAATCATTACTCAAACTGCATCCTAACCATAACCCACCTCTAAAAGTAGCCATATCTCATCCTGACATCTAGCATCATTTATAAAATTTTCCTGTTTTTAAATATTATATACATGGGGCCTCCCCTGGTGGTGCAGGCGGTTGAGCACAGCTCTATGAAGCTGTCCGCAGCCTCTGCAGCATGGGTTCGATCCTGGCCAGCTGGCAAGATACCCACATGGTGCGGCAGACCTCTCCTATCTCACCCTCTGCTCCCCTCAGCAGTGTATTTTAGTCGGTCTGCCTGTTCTGTTCCCCACTGTCTCTGGTGAATCCTCTCACCCTCCTGCACATCTGGCCTGTACCCCAGTTCTTGTATGCATGAATAAATAAATCTTTAAAAATATATTATATACATGGAATCATGAAGTACTTTTTACTCAAAATGATGTTTGCAAGATGGAACTATGTTGTTGCATGCAACAGTAACTTATTCCTTCTCGTATTCTATAGTATTCAATTAAATAAATAAACCATGATTGATTTTCTCATTCTATTCTTTCCATTCCATACCGCAATTCATTTATTCATGTTCTCCTGTGAACATTGTGTTAGGTTTATAACTGGGAGCAGAATTACTATGTTTTAAGATTATCAAAAGATTTGCAGGTTTGAAAAAAATTATTTTCAGGGTGGTACAAAACCAAGGTTATCTAAATTGGAAAAAACCCTCATGATTTACAAGCTTACAGTAGCTGATTCATCTATTGATGGTAGGAAATGAGCAGCTTTATGATGTGATTATCATGTCCCCAAAAGTCGTAGCGTGTGTTTAAATATCAGCATCAGAAAAGTCAGAGATTAAGTTGTTTTTGCAATGCAGACCGCACTTATGGGCAATGTTGAAGATTTCGTTTATTTTGAGTCTCAAGACTCTAATGGTGGGCTTATTTTTCTTATAGTATCTCATTTTACAAAGTATTTTTTCATCTCTGTGTAAGTGAAGTATATACTTATCCATTACATAACAAGAAAAAAGTGTTAATTATATTTATAATGGAATATACATATTCAGCTTTAGTTCATACTGTGAAAAAAGTTTTCAGGGTAATTGTATCAATTTACATTTCCACTGAAAGTGTAAGTTAGTTTCTGTTGCTCTACATCCTTATAACTTTTGATATTGCCTCTATTTCAAGTTTAGCCTTTCTAGTGAGCACATAGAGTTGTCTCATTGAAGACTGTTTGCATTTCTCTGGTTTCCTGTTGTCATTTAGGTATCTCTTTGGGTTTTTTTTGGTTTGTTTGTTTTTTAAAGATTTATTTTTATTTATTTATACAAGCACTGGGCACAGTCAGAAGCGCGGGAGGGTGAGAGAATTCACCAGAGCCAGAGCTGGGAGCAGAGCAGGCAGAAGGACCAAAGTACACTGCTGAGGGGAGCAGCGGGCGGCAGGAGAGGTCTATGCGCCATGTGGGACCCTCCTCCAGTGGCCGGGGAGCAGCTGGGGATGGAACCGGCGCTGCAGAGGCTGGGGGCAGCTTCGCAACCCAGCGCTGGACCGCTGCGCCACCGGGGAGGCCCATAGGTAACTTTTGTTTAGTGCTGTTCAATCTAATACATTTTTATGCTGTGCTGATTTCTTTTAATTATTAAATTATAGGCGTTCTTTATATTCTGGGTATGAAATCTTTTGATGAATATATGTAGTACAAATAAGTTCACCCACTCTGGTTTGCCTTTTTTCTCATTTAATAGTGTCTTTTGATGACCAGAAGTTCTTAATTTTTGTGTGTTTTAAGAAATCTTTGCCTATTCCAAGGTCATGGCATATGCTCCTAAGTAGTCTCCTAAAAGCTTTTTTTTTTTTTTTTTACCTTTCCCATTTAGATCTACAATCCAACTTGAATTGAATTTTGTCGATGGTGTAAGATAAAAGGTTCAGCATTCATTTGTTTCCAAATGGATATCCAATTGACCCAGAACCATTTATTGAAAAAAATAACTGTCATCCTTTCCCCATTACACTGTCGTGTCAGCTTTGTCAAACATCAGGTAACCCTATGTATTTGGATTCATTTCTGAGTTCTAATCTGTTACCACGGACTTATTGTCTACCCTTGCAGCCAATATCAGTTTATTACTCATTAGTACTTCTGCTAGTTTAGATCTTTGAGTTACATTCTTCTGAAAGATTACATTAGCTATTCTTAACCCTTTATGTTTTACTTACATTTTAGAATCAACTTTTCAAATTCTACACATGTGCTTGCATACACACACACAGGAAACAGCTGGGAGAGTGATTGAGATTGTATTAACTCTATAGCTCAAATTTGGGAGAACTGACATCTTTATATTATTCAGTTTTCCAATACATAAACATGGTTTTTACCTCCATTTATTTAAGCATCCTTTAGTTTATCTCAAAAATATTTTATACTATTAGTGTACAACTCTCAAATATCTCGTTTGATTTTTTTTTAAGTCTTTTTTTTTTAAGATTTATTTATTTATTTACACAAGCATTGGTTACAGTCAGAATCCCGGGAGGGTGAGAGAATTCTCCAGAGCCAGAGTGGGAGCAGAACAGGCAGAGTGACGAAGTATACTGCTGAGGGGAGCAGCGGGTGGCAGGAGAGGTCTGCGTGCCATGTGGGACCCTCACCAGGTGACCGGGGATCGAACCGGTGCTGCAGAGGCTGCAGGCAGCTTCGCAGCCCAGCGCTCAACTGCTGCGCCACCGGGGAGGCCCTCTCGTTTGATACATTTTATTCTTTCTGTAGATGGTATCACTTTTAATGTTTTATTTTCTACAATTTTATTGTTGATGTATAGATATAGAATTGACTTTTGTATATATTTTTTAAAGATTTATTTATTTATACGTACAAGAACTGGGGTACAGGCCAGAGGTGTGGGGGGTGAGAAGATTCACCAGAGACAGTGGGGAATAGAACAGGTGGATTGACAAATAACACTGCTGAAGGGAACAGTGGGCGAGACAGGAGAGGTCTGCTGTGTCATGTGGGTCTCCTCCCTGGCCAGCTGGGGACTGAGCTCGTGCTGCAATGGCTGAGATAGCTTCATAGTGCTGCATCTTAACCCCGTGAGCCACCAGGGAGGCCCCTGACTTTTGTATATTAACCTTCGTTCTATCAGTGACCTCATTAAACTCCTTTACTTTAGTGTTGTAATAAGCATAGATTGAAAAGTTAAGTAGCCTTCCCAAAATCCACAATGGGTGTTTCCCTAGTTTATAACATAAGATTTAAACTGTAAACTTCATGTCAGTGGTAACTATGCCTCTGACTTTTTATTTTTCAAACTACAGACATAGAGGAAACTATAAAAATTGACTCTGACTAATTTATCTGATGACACAAGATCTGCAATTCTTTGGCTGTTGCTGGCTCAATTGTTACTATAGAACAAATACCTTAATATTTCTTAGGTAATTTAGTTTATTAACAAAAATAAACAAGTCTGTGACTTTAGAATTAAAAAAAATGCATACATTACCTGCAAATAAGTCAGTTCATTCATTTGGAAGGCACATCATAGCATTACTCTGCAGATAGCTACTACTAACATAATTGAGGGTTTGCCCATGACCCAGGCTCTCTTGATAATCCTTCATATTCACCTTGGCTGATAGGATGACATAAAAGTAGGACATTGCCCCAATAATCTTATTACAGTTCTTTTTATGGGTTTTTAAAATTTTATGTCCAGGTTATCAACCCTATTGGAATATTGGTCTTCAGTAACCTGTTTAGTCAGAAGTCTAAGTTAGTAACTTAATTTGTTAAAAACAACAAAAATCGCCCTCTGTCTTTTCCCCTAAATCAATAGGGTTGTCCTATGCTTGTTACCTAGTCACTGTCACCAAATGCTATATAACATTTTGAGCTGTAACATTTGCCTCCAAATAAGCTAATCAGTTCAGGAGGCATTATGTGTTTCATGTGGAGCTAAAAAATAACATTCACCAGCCTTACATAGACTTGGCTATTACATTATAAATTCCTGCAATATAAGAGGATGGTAACAGCAGTATCAAGTCTCACTCACAGTTTACCATCTAGAGAAGTCTTCACGTTTCTTGCTTATTTATAATGGTATTTTTAATCATTGTGTCACTCAAATATGGCAAGTATTGATTTGGTATCTAAACTACTTCATTATTCTGGAATACTATTTCTATTTTAGGAGCATCTACAAAGATTGCTAATTTTTCTCTTGAGGAAGAATAGAATGAAAATTCAATAGAAATTGTTGATTGGCAAAGGTATATTACTCCTCTTTTATACTTTCCCTTTAAAAATGGGAATCACACCCTTTTTCAGCCAATACAGTTTTGATAGGTAGAAGTAAAAGTATTTGTTCATTATAAGGAATTGATCCATCACTTTTTAGAAGGAAATGAGTGGTAACATTTACGTTAAAGAGTCATGTTTTATTACTGGAATAAAAACTCAATGAAGGGCCTCCCTGGTGGTGCAAGAGGTTAAGCACCGCGCTATGAAGCAATCCACAGCCTCTGCAGCATGAGTTTGATCCCTGGCTGGCCAGGGAGAAACCCACAGGATGCAGCAGACCTCTCCGGTCTTGCCCGCTGCTCCCCTCAGCAGTGTATTTTAGTCAGTCTGCCTGCTCTGTTCCCCACTTTCTGGTGAGTCCTCTCACTCCCCACAATTCTGGCCTATACCCCAGCTCTTGTATGCATAAATAAGTAAATCTTTAAAACAAACAAACAAACAAAAAACTCAATGCATACCCCTTTGGTGTAGGTTTTGGAGACACAATTGATGAAGTGAAGTCACTGGAATGGAAACCACAATGCCTGAGATCAAGGCTCACTTTTTACCATAAATCAGGTATTGACTTTGGGAAGCTACTTAAACTCAGTTTCCTGAAACTTGTATAATGTTATAAAAATGTATCAGTATTAGTTCATTAATTGTAATCACTGTATTATATTAACATAAAATGTTGATAATATGAGGAACTGTATGATGGAGTGGGGATGGAGGCTGAGGGCACATGGGAATCCTCTGTATCTGCTCAATTTTTCTGTAAACCAAATTCTATTTTTTTAAAAAGATTTATGCATACAAGAACTGGGGTACAGGCCAGAGGTGCGGGGGATGAGAGGATTCACCAGAGACAGAATGGGGAACAAAACAGGCAGACTGACTGAAATACACCGCTGAAGGGAGCAGCAGGAGAGCCAGGAGAGGTCTGCTGCGCCATGTGAGTAGCTTCCTGGCCAGGGATCAAACTCGTGCTGCTGTGGCTGCGGACAGCTTCATAAGCTGCGTTTTAACCCCTTGCGCCATCAGGGAGGCCCCGAAAATCTATTTAAAAGGGTAAGCAGAACTCTCATGGAGAAAAGGGAATAAAAATACTAAAAGTAAAAGGATTTCAGCTAGTCATGACCATTACCACCATTACCAAAAAATGAAATTATTGGGTTGTTGGAAAAGTCATGATGTATTTTTTCCTATGTTTTTCAAGCAAAAATGTGTCATGTCTTTTCTGACAACCCAATAGATGCCATGACAACAGCACCTCTTTCTGAGCAGTGACTTTCCATATGAGATCTGAATGAAAAGACAATAAAAAAATCGTCAATAAAAAGTCAGTCAGATGAACTAGGGAAGAGCATTGTTCCTCAGCAGAACAGCCAGTACAAAGATCCTAAGACCAGACTAATTGTAAATGTTTGAGAACTAGAAATAATATGTGAGTCTTATGTGTATTGAGCGAGGACAAAAGTGGGGTGAGATAAATTCAGAGAACTGGAACTTGTAATCTCCAAAAAACCACAGAATGTTCTAGAGTTTTGTAGATTAGACTAAGGATGTTTTTCCACATTAAATGGTGTAGCTGCTCTGTCCTAAAAAAGATTCAGAGTAAATCTTGGGGACCAGTTGCTCTATCTAGGTTAATAAAAATATCATGACACCTACCTGCCATTTCCTGAAGTCTTGTTTTGGGGAAACTAGACTTCAAAGGAGAAATCATAACCAGCATGTTTTTATTAATAGCTAAAAACCAGTTTCCCTTGTCTAGGTGCCACAGAAGCAGCTTCAAATTTTCTGCCTAGTAGGTTTTTAGACTGCATTTCTGTTCATAAGAAGGTAAACTACTCAGTGTCTAAAGTTATCACCGTATGTCTACATCCCACTATTTTCTTTTTTCAGAAATATGTGTCATTAAGAGTTAGTTGGGTAACTGTAAGGCCTACTTGCTTCAAAAGGACTCTTGAATTACCTAATCAAAAGGTGCCCTACTCCTTCCTTCCTTTCCCCTTCCCTGCCCAGCACAGACTTATATTTTCAAGGACAGCAATATAGGCTCAGCCTTTTTGTCACTGCCTTTGCCCCAGAATCCCTGCCCTGTGAGAAGCATTATCCCCAAACTCTGCCTTGGAAAGTATGCAGGAGCTTTTCAAATTGTCAATTCAAAGGCTAATGTGAAAACAAGCATCAAAGAGAAAAAGAGATTGTGAATGTAGCAAGAGCGCTGAATCAGGAATCAATAGAACAGAGTTCAAGTTCAGATGCTACCACTTTTGGAACCTCAGTTCTTTAATATGTGCAATCAGAATAAAAATCTTTTCAACGGACACAGCAGAAATCAAAAGAATAATTAGTAACTACTATGAACAGTTATATGGAAACAAGTTCAACAATCTAGAGGAGATGGACAAATTCCTACAACTCTACAATCACCCAAAGCTAGATAAAGAAGAAATAGAACACCTAAACAGACCAATTACAAGCAGCGAAATTGAAATGGTAATCAAAAACCTCCCCAAAAACAAAAGCCCAGGACCTGATGGATTTACAAATGAATTCTACCAAACATTCAGAGACGAATTAGTGCCTATCCTTCACAAACTCTTCCAAAAAATTGAGAAGGAAGGGACAATACCAAACACGTTCTATGAAGCCAATATTACACTAATACCAAAACCGAATAAGGACAACACAAAAAAGGAAAACTACAGGCCAATCTCCCTAATGAACACTGATGCAAAAATCCTCAATAAAATTTTAGCTATCAGAATCCAACAATGTATCCATAAGATAATTCACCACGACCAAGTTGGATTCATTCCAGGGACACAAGGATGGTTTAACATCCGAAAATCAGTCAATGTTATCCAACACATCAACAAAAAGAAATATAAAAACCATATGATAATATCAATAGATGCTGAGAAAGCTTTCGACAAAGTGCAACACCCATTCATGATAAAAGCCCTTGAAATTCTTGGGATACAAGGAACATACCTCAACATCATAAAGGCCATCTATGACAAGCCAACAGCCAGTATCATTCTCAATGGTAAAAAGCTGAAAGCAATTCCATTAAGATCTGGAACAAGACAAGGATGTCCACTCTCACCACTGCTTTTCAATATAATACTGGAAGTCCTAGCCAGAGCAATAAGACAAGAGAAAGACATCCAAGGAATCCAAATAGGAAAAGAAGAAGTCAAACTATCACTATTTGCAGATGATATGATAATATACATAGAGAACCCCAAAAACTCCACAGAAAAACTAATTCAGCTCATCAATCAGTTCAGTAAAGTGGCAGGATACAAAATCAACACGCAAAAGTCAGTAGCCTTCCTATACACAAACAATAAATCTGAAGAAGAAGAAATCAAAAAAACCATCCCTTTTATTATCGAAACAAAAAAAAATCAAATATTTGGGAATAAATCTAACAAAAGAGGTAAAGGACCTATACAAAGAAAACTATAAAACACTGTTAAAAGAAATAGAAGAAGACACAAAGAAATGGAAAGACATCCCCTGCTCATGGATTGGAAGAATAAACATTATTAAAATGGCCATACTACCAAAAGCAATATACAGATTCAATGCTATTCCAATCAAAATTTCAATGTCATTCTTCAAAGAAATAGAACAATTATTGATGAAATTCATATGGAATCACAAAAAAACCCAAATTGCCAAAGCTCTCCTGAAAAAGAAAGAAGGGAATGGAGGCATCACACTCCCAGACTTCAAACTATACTACAAAGCCATAATTATCAAAACTGCATGGTATTGGAACAAGAACAGACATACAGACCAATGGAATCGAATAGAAAATCCAGAAATAAACCCACAGATTTATGGTCAACTAATCTTTGACAAAGGAGCAAAGACTATGCATTGGAGCAAAGAAAGTTTGTTCAATAAATGGTGCTGGGAAAACTGGGTCGCTACATGCAAAAGAATGAAGCTTGACCACTACCTCACACCATACACAAAAATCAACTCAAAATGGATTAAAGAACTAGACATAAGACCTGAAACCATAAAATATATAGAAGGAAATATAGGCGAAACACTACGTGATTTGCACATCAAAGACATCTTTACAGACACATCACCCAAAGCAGTGATAGTGAAGGCAAAGATAAACAGCTGGGACTACATCAAATTAAAGAGCTTCTGCACAGCAAAAGAGACAATAACAAAAACAAAGAGAAACCCCACCAACTGGGAGAACATTTTTGCACCCAACACTAATGATAAAGGACTGATCACAAAAATCTGCAAAGAGCTGATGAGACTCAGCAACAACAAAGAAAATAATCCAGTCAAAAAATGGGCAGAAGAGCTAAAAAGAAACTTCTCTGAAGAGGAAATGCAAATGGCCAACAGACATATGAAAAAATGTTCAACATCACTTGTAATCAGGGAAATGCAAATCAAAACTACCATGAGATACCATCTCACACCAGTGAGAATGGCACATATTAAAAAAACTAGCAACAACAAATGTTGGCGAGGGTGTGGAGAAAAAGGAACTCTTCTGCACTGTTGGTGGGAGTGCAAACTGGTCCAACCACTGTGGAGAGCTGTGTGGAGATTTCTGGACCTACTAAACATAGAGCTTCCATATGATCCAGCAATTCTACTCCTAGGTATTTACCCAAAGGACACAGAAACATCAATTCCAAAGAACACCTGCACCCCTATGTTTATAGCAGCACTATTTACAATAGCTAAGTTTTGGAAACAGCCCAAATGCCCAAAAATAGATGACTGGATCAAGAAGATGTGGTACATATACACCATGGAATATTACTCAGCATTCAAAAAAGATAAACACATGCAATTTGCAGCAACATGGATGGCGTTGGAAGGGATCATGCTCAGCGAAACAAGCCAAAAAGAAAAAGAAAAATACCGGATGGTCTCACTCATAGCAGGAATCTAGAAAACTTAAATAAGGGACCAGGAAAATGAATAACTATAAGAAAGTGAAAATCAAAATCAACAAAAAACTATGAACCAGAGACACTTTTTGGGGGGTGTGGGGTCGGAGGGGAGGGATTGGGGTCAGAATGGGGCGTTTGCAATTGTATGGGGGAATATAAAAATAAAATTTATTATTTAAAAAAAAAAAAAAGAATAAAAATCTTTCCCTGCTGTTCTGACAGGGTTGTGGTGGGAATTAAGTAGCTGTTATCTGTGGAAAGTGCTTTATAAACCTAGGCTGCTACATCAAAATGGAAAGTGAGAGAAATGGAGTAGTTTCAAGTTGGAGAGTTTGTTTTAATTGGCTATCAGCTATGAGAAGAGCACTCAGAAAGCACAGCGGTGAAGGGATATGTGTGGAAAACACACTCTTTGTCATTAAAGCATAGGGTTCCTGCCACTAGGGGCCAATGTACTACACAACTCTAGGGAGCACCATTTACATTGTAGTCTATGCATATATTTGAAAGAGTTTAATAGTAATGTCTTATTAAGGTAAATAATTCCTTATCAATTGAAGGATGAGCCATAAGTAAGGTAGGAACTCAGTTTGGAGACATAAAAAAAGTGAATAGACTGAATGGGACTTCAACTATTTTGTAGAAAAGGAGACATTCTGATTGGAATGAGAAGAGAAAAGACCTTTCGTAAAATTAAGGGCATGAGGAATATTGTTTGGGTGTACTTTCAGGAAGAGTAAGAGAAAATGCTGTGATTTGTTCTTAATTTTGTTAAAGATATGCGAACAGTTTATGGACAAAGATTTATCATTCATCTTTTCACTTTTTTTTTGAAGATTTATTTATTTATGCATACAAGAGCTGGGATACAGGCCAGAGATTCGGGGGTGAGAGGATTCACCAGAGACAGAGTGGGGAACAGAACAGGCAGACTGAGTGAAATACACTGCTGAGAGGAGCAGTGGGCGAGACAGGACAGGTCTGGTCTGCTTCGCCATGTGGGTTTCTCTCTGGCCGGCCTGGGGTGCCAGGGATATAACTTGTGCTGCAGAGGCTGTGGATTGCTTCATAGTGCGGTGCTTAACCCCTTGCGCCACCAGGGAGGCCCTCATCTTTTCACTTTCAATTCAAACACAACTCAAGTATCTGTTCTAAAAGCACTGAAAGGTCAAATGGAGAATGAAGTGCGCAATACCTGAAATGTTTGTGTTCCTCTTGTCTTTTTGTTGATCTATTCTCTGTTAATTTTTATTCCTCATCCAATGTGAAAGGATAATTTAAATGCCTTTTGGAATCTTTGTATGTATTAACTCAGAAGAAGCCTAGTGGTTGCTATTGAGCAAAGGTATTCAGTATCCTTTAGAACATTCTTTCTAATAACATTTACTACTTAGAATGTGAATGTGTGTGTGTCAGTGTGTTTGTGTGTCTACACGCTCATGTTTGGTGTTCTGCATCCCATTCTCCATGAAAAGTGTTGTGCTCTACCAAAAAAACGAAGACATTCAGTGCTTCTCTAGGCCCAACATTTCTTAGTATTATAAAATATTGCAGTTGAATTAAATAATTTAATGAAAATATTAATTTTAAGATTATAATTAAATTTGTAATTCTCACAATTAAAGTCCCAAGCATTTCTATAAAACTGGGCCAGTCAGGACAAATTTTTACTGTGTTCATTTTCTTGTCCCTATTTCACTATGGCCTTTTATTTAAAAAAATGGTTCCCCATTTTGCTGTTATTTTTTTTAATATCTTATCTGATTTGAAAATTGCAGGGCCCATATAAATTTTACAGAGGTATCTGCTTTCTTCCTTCATGGTTTCTCTGCAACAGTGGATTAGCTGGGCCTTTTTCCTTCTGAACATTATTGTATTACCTATGGGGGGAAAGGAGACGGACAGTGTGAACCAATATGCTGATGTTCTGAGGATAAAGATTTGAGAATCTCCTTTCTTTCCTCATAAGAGTTTTCTGCAAATCTGAAGCAGTGACTTTATTCAACACCTGCATCTTTAACAACCAGCGCAGTATAATTACCTTTCTTGAATATTCTATAGAATTGTCAAACAGCAATTTTCTTTTAGAAGGCAGGCTTTTAAATAATGTCGTTTACATACAGAGTTTAACATCTCTTAAGCTAAAAATCTAATTACAAGAATCTGAAATTTACTGCATGTTTATAATTTGGTCTTTTTAAAATTGCTACATCAAAGCACCTTTAACATATATTATGAATCAGAAAAATACATATAGAGAGGCAAAATTAAATATTTTGGAATTTCTTGAATAAATGTTAATTTCTATTAATATTACTATATTAACACATTTTGGTATCTTGTTGCATTTCCCTTGAATTCAACCTGTTTGTGGAGAGAGGTAGCTTACACTGACATGATTTATCAAGATCATTTGATGTCATCATTTCTTCTTTGTTAATGAAAAGTACCAATATTTAAAAAGAACTGCCATCTTACCTTATGTGTAGACGATAGATGGCATATTCAAAACAGCTGAGACAATTCTTCCAATGAACACACTAGATATTAATGCCAATGCTAAATAATGAGATTAGAATTTAGGTGATATACTGCCATTTGATAAAGTGGTTCATGCCCAGATTGTATAAATACTTATCATTTTTGTCATCCTGATTTTATCATTTTTGAAGTGCAAATGAGATTGTCAACCCTTAGAAGTAGTGGTACATCAATATTCCTCACTATAAGGTAAATGTTAAAGTGGAAAATTTAACATAGCATCATATTATTTCATTCTGGTACAAGCTCTAAATTAATGTTATGAAATGTTGTGAGCATGCCTATAAAACTACCACTTATAAAAATTAAAGAGTATCTTTTATAATCTTCAAACTGTAACTCTAACAGTTCCTCTGTTACCCCACATTATTCCCAGAATGTCTAGTCTTTGCTACATTCTGTGCTTCTGCTCGGGATTTCTGTTCTCTATGCCAATTGTGTCCAAGGATTCTGCAAATCTTTTGTACCTTTTTCTAAGCATATTCTCTATGACAGAGCTATTTATTCAGCCTGAAGTCTAATGTACAGCCTTCCCAGACTCTTCCTCAAAAGCACACTCTACCATTCTAGAAACATACATAAATTTAAAAAGAATTTTAATAGAGTCTCATGGCATTGTTTTGAATTTACATCAAGTATTTAGATAGCTAGTGATTTTTCATACCATTTCATTGTATAGAAATAGAACTGTAATTGTAAAATAATTCTTTTACTGTTTGTATCGTGGTCATATACGGAATTAATTTTGTGCCTGAACTCTTCACTATACCGTCAGAAGAATCACAAAGTCTGAGATGCCGGAAATGTATTCTGTATGCTAAATCTTGACATTTCCTGTCACGAAAATAACGTTTAACAAAAGGAATGATGTTCAAAATATTCCACCTATTCATAAACAATTCTCAATTGTCATATTTTATTATGTAAAACATGTTGCAGTTTCTATTTCTCTCCTGTATTCTTAGGCCCTCAGTAAAATATGCACACGTGATGGTACATATGAGGGTACAAGGATTGTGTGTATTTCACATGCAAAGGGAGAGTAGCATTTTTCATGCAACTTCTATATGGACATGATGGCATGAAAATAAAAAACAGTTCTCTCTCGTGTCTGTTTGTGTGTGTGTCTTTTTCTCTCTTACTTCGCTTTTTCTAACCATTGCTTTTTATTTTATAGGGTTTCTTCCATACTATCTTAACTGGATTACAGAGTAAGGACAAGTTTTCTCCATTACAAAATTCTCATTTAATCCTTATCCACACTTAATTTATCAAATTAAATCAGACAAGATTGAACCCGGGGCTTTTCAAGCTGGACATCATGTGTAAAATCGGCAGACAAGGGTTTGTAAAGGGTGCCCACCGTGACTTGTCATAGCGTCTTGCCTCAGCCTCATCTGCCCTCACGTCGATCCAGGCGGGGTCAGGATGCTTCTTGGTGTTACACTGTGGGCTCTGCGGGGAAACAGAGCAGCTACACAGCCTCCAGCAGAGTTACTTATTACACCCTCGGCCCCCTTCACCTGCCCCAGCCATTCAAAATAACATCACACCATAAAATATTCATGAACCGCGCAATGCTGCAGCCAGGGCTTGCTACTGCAGGTGGCTGTTACATCAGTAATTGCCCAATACTTCCCTCCACAGCGTAAAATTGTTTTCATTATGTGTCATGAACACAGAGCCAAGCAAAGCCCTCTTGAGTGGTTTCCCAAGGGCTGGAGGGAGGTGGTACTTAACTTAAACAGGCGCTTTTTGGCTTAGATTTAAAAAAAAAAAAAGGAGAAGCTGTGAAAGCTCATCATTAACTCTCCTTCTAAGTGCAACAAAAAGCAGAAGCTCATGCAAAACTCCCATAAAGATTATCTGAAATGTCTCAGTTACGAGGAAGAGCTTTAGGAGCTTTAGCGGGTCTTACATACTTCAAGCTGCTCGAGCAGAGAAGAGAATAACTTTCCACCTGACTGAAGTTCCCATGGAGTGCAGAGCTAGGGGATAAGCAGGTTTCAGCAATAAACTCCTGCATTGTGAGGCAATAATGCCTAGCCAGGTCCCCCCATTTTGATTCAAGGGTGTCTTTTTCTTTCCCCCCTGTGGAGGACTAATCACAGCTCCACTTTGTTTAATTGCAGCAAAGAGAGAAATGTGTTTAAGAAGTCATTCTGGACCCCTTTAAATGAATGCTGGGGTTCTTCAAGGACAACAAACAGGATGCATAATAAATAAGATTTAATTTTCAGATCAAAATAGGCAAAGTTAAAGATTTTTAGTGGCTGATCTGGGAGAGATGCTGATGAATAGGGGTGGGGGGGTGAGGGGAGCAACAAGTGGGATTAAAGTCTTGTATTTTATATAGCAAAGCTGTTTCTGCATGGTGGGAGGATCCTTACAGGAACAAAATCTTAACAGTATTGGAAGGTGGTAATTTTCCCTGGCATTTTGATTTTGATTTGGAAAGGATTTGGAAAGGAGCAAAGAAATGAAGAGAAGAGAGAAGAGAGAAGAGAAGAGAAGAGAAGAGAAGAGAAGAGAAGAGAAGAGAAGAGAAGAGAAGAGAAGAGAAGAGAAGAGAAGAGAAGAGAAGAGAAGAGAAGAGAAGAGAAGAGAAGAGAAGAGAAGGGAAGAGAAGTTCCTTCTTATAAATTGTCAAACCTTGATAATTGAAAGATTTGCCTGCCCTCATTTTCAAGCTCAGGCCCAGCAAATGCTAGGTGCAGTGTGTGCTTGAGATGGCCCCAGGGTCGTGAACTCCAGGGGGTTGGGAGGAAAAGCATTTATCCATCACATGCCTTCTTTCTGAGTTTGACAAAACTAAGCCACACACCAAATGATTGGGAAGCACTCCTTTTCATTAATTTAAAATAGATTTAGTTATCCCCTTATGTCCCCCAGGACCTCTTCTTAAAGGAAAGCTAACTCTTACACTTTTGGAAGATGTATGTTCTCTGATTTTTATCACTTTCTTTGGAAATTGTTTACCAAGGATCATATAACAAAAGTCATCCAATTATGCAGACTTGAAAATGTTTAATACAAATTCTCCATGTTCAAAACCAACTCATCTACAATGAAATTAATCTTTTTTAAAAATTTTGTGGCACAATTTCGATAACATTTTCTTTTACTAATACAATATCCATTGATAACAAATCGACCATAGATAACTGTCAGTGTCATAAATTGAAGAAGGCAATGGGCATAAAACCTCTCGAGCATCTGTTGCAGGGGGTTTTCCTCTGGGTTAAATGTAAGATGTGAGGTTATTTAGCATCCTGCAAAAACAATATGAAGTGAGTGTGTGCGTGTGTGTGTTTGTGCATGTGTGTGTGCACCCGCCAGATACATATGTATCATGAATGATGGATTTCCTTTGCATCTGGTAACTATAGACTCCACCCCCCCCCCGCCCCTGAATACAGCAAATGACTATTTCAAAATGAAAAACCACTATGTGTTTGAATGTTGTATTATGCCTAGTCCCTTTCTGAGTGAAAGGCGGCTTTAAAAAGTTAGGTATATCATTGCCAAAAAGGGGCTAAATAGTATTGTCAGCATTTTGAGAAGGAATAGGTCCTTTTTCCCCCTTCCTTCTCAAACTCCTTTCTGGACAGCTGTTAGTGACTTACCGAACTTTTCATATGGATATGTATGTTAATGGCAGGCAATGAACTGGAGATGAAGAGGCCCAAACACAGGCCCAGCTCTTCAGTACACATCAAAAGCCTTTACAAAAGGAGCAGTAAAAGAGGCAGCGATGGCGGAGCCTTCACTTTTGTACCCTGAATTAGTTCTGCAAGCAATGAAACTGATCTTTTCTCCTTGCCAGAAAAGTCTGCTGATTTTTGTGAGTGCTCATTAGCACAAGAGGCATTTGTGAAGATAATTGACTGACGCTGATACTGCTGGCTGTCACAACAGTGCCAGCCAGCAGTGTATGCGCATTTTAATAGTTGTATTTTTTTTCTTTCTTAGTCTTCATGGTTTCTAAAAGATACCAGTCTTCCAAAGATTTACACTCTTTGCTGAAGCAGAAGCTTTTAAAATCTTTCCTTTGAAAATTGACAGCCAAGCTTACTTTAAAAAAATATTGTATTTCTCTACATAGTACCTGGTATGTACATGTATGCATAAATTAAAATATCTCATCTGTTAAATCCATGCAACTGTATGGAAATTAAGTAGAAGTAGATCCAAAGTATTTTGATATCAAATGATCATTTGGTTAATAGTTTATTTTTTACCACAGGGTTCCCAGAATATAAACTGTCATCCTAGAGAAATAATAAGTAAAATAATATACCATTTTCATCGTGAGCAGCTACAATGCTTTCATACATGTTCAAATCTTCTATGATTTTTCCGTTTGAAGTGTTCTAAAATTAGAAAATTTCAAGAGAAGATGTGGGGTGGGGGATAAATGAAGAAATATTCCTATAAATTCCTATAAATATTCCTATAAATTATAACTTGGCAATGCCGCAACATCAGTCTATCTTCTGTCTGATGGTACCATCCAGAGTGGACTTTGAAGTATCAAAGTGTGGATTTCAGAGGTCAATTGAGTTAGTGTGTTCAAGGTGTCAAGGAATTCAACACGAACATGATGTTTGAAGGATCCTTTTCGCTGAGTTCTTCCTAACAATTCAAAACATATCGTAGAAACCTTGTTGCTTGGTTGACATATGCCTTCTCTCCTTTCTAAAGGTACTTCTAAAACATTTACTTTGTTTAATTATACATTTAATCTGTTCTTTGTGTAGAAGAACATATCTGGGAATTTATGTGTCATTGTAACAAAATAGATTCTCCAAGTGTCTTTTCCCAAATGAATGATATATCATAGCTATATGTTTACTTTTCTGTAATCTATATGTATATTAAGCTGTTTAAGGACTCTGTGCATCGAATATTCTCAGAATACTATTTTTATCAAGCACTTCAGGTGTCTGTAACATGTCACATAGAAACTATTATCTTTGAGAAATAAGTTATTTTCTCAAGTTAAGAATGACAGAATGAGTTGAACGAGTGTGATAGTCACTTCTGCGTTATCACCACTTTAGAATAAAAATGAGTTGTCTGTTTTACCCAACAGTATATGTGTATACCCACACAGACACACATGCACACATATTTCTGGCAGTGCAGCTCACTGATAGGTTGCTCTGAAAGGGCTCTGGGGGAGGATAGAGTTTGCTCACTTCATTGAACATGCTTTTAAATCTGCTCCTTGATGTACTCTTTAGAAATAGACTCTGCATTTCTCAAAATGTAGCAATGGTGCCAACATTTTCTGAAAAGTTAGCCATTGAATCCTTGATGTTTCACATTAATGGGGTTGTCTATGTGTACAACACAGAAGAGTACAAGTTAAAACATTTCAAGAAAGAGTCAAAATTCTCTTACCATTCTTTTCCACCACCTGGATTTCCTCACTTGATGTTCTGATCAGAGGGAAGTCAACCATCCTTTGAATGATGAAGGGTGAGGTGTGCTATGATGGGGTATGTTTGGGGATTGGAACTCTTCCCTTTCTGTGCTAGTGATGCCAAACGATTTGAATAACCCATCAACATTTTGTTTACCATACTGTCATATAAAATCATATTTGAGAAAAAGTGCTCATAGAATAGTTAGCTACATGTGATGCAAAAGAAGCATTGGATCCTAAAAAAAGATAGGAAAGAGGAGAAAAACCCACTTTGTAGGTTATGCTTCCCCTCTTCAAAGATACCTAGACTCAAGTAAGGAAATGTAATGAGTATATGTCTTTAATTATTATTAACTCTCTTTCAAATGTCAAATGTTGGAATATGAAATAACAGAATTGCAATTTTTCAGAGACATACAGTCATTCATTTATCAAATGTTTTCTACAATGGTCAAGCACAATGTTGTAGAAATTAGTAAGAGAGAAAACAAGTACTTTTCCTCATAGGTGTTGCATTTGGAAGGTGACATAGAAGTAGAATCGGATACTAGTAAATGTGTCAAGTAGTAATAAATGGTATTGGGGAAATAAGTTGATAAAGCTAATTGTGGGACTGTTACTTTATGATGATCCGTAATTTTTCTGAGGAAAGGACATTTGAGTACACACTGAAAGAAGTAAGGAAACAGGACATGTGATAATCTGGAGGACAAGGAAACAAGAAGTATAAATGTCTTGGGGAATGTACTTGAGTACAGTAAAACTTTCTAAGTAAGACCAAGCTTAGCTGTATCCAGTGTAGTGCATATTGGGGTAGTATTGCCTTCTTACTTTTTTTAAATCCAGGTAGCTTAAGTATTGCCTTGCAAAACATTAGTGGAAAACATTCTTATGCAAATGTATTTTAGAACAATGAGATCCAGTGTCTATGTGAAATAATTTATGTTGGAGAAACATGATGAAGTCTTGTATTATATCTAATATTGAAATGATAGAACTTTTGCCACTTTTTTTAAAATTTTTTTTAAGATTTATTTATTTATTTATACAAGCACTGCGTACAGTCAGAAGCACAGGACGGTGACAGAATTCACCAGAACCAGAGCAGGGAACAGAACAGGCAGACTGACGAAATACACTGGGAGCAGCGGGCGCGGCAGGAGAGGTCTGTTGCGCCATGCGGGACCTTTGTCGGTGGCTGGGGATCGAACTGGTGCTGCAGAGGCTGTGGGCAGCTTCGCAGCCCAGCACTCAACCACTGCGCCACCAGGGGAGGCCCTGTCACTAATTTTTTAAGTAAGAATGTAGTTATCTACATGGGTTAAGTTTTATTTATTTCATAGAGAGAAATGCAACTGTAATAGAATAGCTTAACATATTTTTAAAGGAAAAAAGAAGAGACTGACCAATTAAGAAAAATCTAACACAAATGAAATTACTAATCTAGCAGTACATATTTGCTGATAGAAGGAAAATGGGAGTCTCTAAGAATAAAATAAACAATGTATCTGAATACATTTTTACACAGTGAATATATTCTGGGAAAGACATCTATTTGATGGGACAAAACACTTTTA